GAAGTGGGCCAAATGCAGCCGATGTACATCTAAGAATAGCCGTACAGGGCTGCAGTGAATAGCCGAAAAGGCTTCTGCTTACTTCACTTCGGCTCAGTTATTCATTCAGCTACCTTTGGCAGCTTAGTGAATAACCCCCTTAGTGTTTCAACGCTGACCTTAGCTATGTGCCTGCAGTTCTGCTTTAAAGTCAATGTAAAGTTTAAACTCTTACTGCATGGCATTGTTAGCTAAAGCACTATGTAACATTAACAATTGCTATCTTTTACTAAATACTGTTTTCCCTTATTTCATGCTTTATTGCGAATCAAAACTGTTGATCTACTGCAGCCTCTTTGTAGCTGCCTCCTATCTACATATCTAATCTATCTATCTATCTATCTATCTATCTACCTATCTATCAGTGGCGTAACAATCGCCATAGCGACCCAGGCGGCCGCAACAGGGGGGCCCAGCCAGGGCTGCCTGGGTCGCTATGGCATGTGGGGGTGCTGGCTGTCACAAACACAGCTCAGCAGCGACCACGGCGCATTTCTCTTCATAGCCGCTGCGGAGCTGTGTCAGTGACAGCCAGCCGCTGCGGCAGATGAGGGTGGTGTACGGAATGGGCTCTGCAGGGTCACTCTCCGCTGGGGCTCTGCAAGTGGCATAACTAGCAATCACGGGGCCCCATACAACATTTTGCTATGGGGCCCTGTGATTTCTAGTTACGCCCCTGCTATCTATCTATCTATCTATCTATCTATCTATCTATCTATCTATCGACTGCTTCACATTATATTACAATATATTAAGGGTGGCTCTCCTGATGGTGACAACAGTGGACTATGCCTGTGCAATGTTCTTTGTAATCTCCATTGGGAAAGAGCATCACAGGGTGGCAGTGCAGGAGCATAAAGCTTATGTGAGATTTTAGTGATTGGATTTACATATACTTGTATCATATTACTAATGCTAAAATAGTTATCCTATGATTCCACATGGGACATTAGACATTTCTCCTTCAAGCTGCAAGTCTAGTTCAAATGTGAGACAAAGCTTTTCCATCACTCCAGGAAGTCATTGTCTTCCGGTATATGAAATGTCATTTGTTTTTCCCCTTTTAGCTCATTCTGATGAGCAATAGGAAAAACACTTTTTCCTTTTAAAATACCTAGACAAGTACTTAAATTATATCAGTGTCTATGAATTTTCCTTCAGAGCTTTTTTATTTCCAGAGGAGATTGACAGCGGATTGAAGAACACTGACAAGTATAGCTGAAATCCAGACACACATATACTGTATAAAATCCACAAACTAATGCAGCATTGTACTCATTAATAAATTATTACATTTATTTTGTTGTTATTTTTAAAACACAAGCAGTACCTGAATTGGACTTGCAATCCCCAAGAGCTCAGACTGAGAGACGGAGGGGCAGGATTGGTAGCCAACCATGTATGATTCATGCAAACATGTTGACAATATGGATGAGCTTCAGGTTCGGGTCAGCTATAAGTTCAACTTGAACCCAAGCTGTTTGAGGTTCACCAAAAGGGCAAACCAAATGGCCAGATTTGCCCAGTTCTCCAGCTCGAACCTCTGGCTGGTGCATCTAAAAGTATCAGTTAAACCCAAACCTAAGCTGTTCGAGGTTCATATGGGCAAACAAAATGTCCAGATTTGCCCATTTCGCTGGCTCAAACTTCTGACTGTTTCATCTGGAACCATTAGTTCAACCAGAATCCCAGGCTGTTTGAGGTTCACTAAATGGGCAAACTAAATTTGCCAATTTCACCTGCTTGAAACATGGCTGCTTTACCTGGAACCATAAGTTCGACTTAAACATGAGATGTTTGAGGTTCACCAATTGGGCAAACTACCAAACTTACCAACTTCAACCTCTGCCTGCTTCACCCAAAAGTTTAATTATTTATTGGTGGTAATTCTAGGGACTCTGGTGTGAAGGGGGTACTTCTGATATGAAGGGGGACTCTAATGTGAAAGGGGACTTTGATGTAAAGTGGGCTTATAATGTGAACAAGTGACTTTTCTGTGAAAGGGTGGGGCTCTAATGTGAAGAGGGGACTCTGGCATTGAAGGGGGGACTGCTGACGTGAAGGGGGACTTCTGATATGAAGCGGGGCTCCTGATGTGAATGGGAGCTTTTGATGTGAATTGGGGGCTTTTGATGTGAAACGGGAACTCTGATATGAAGGGGGGAGTAACTGAGGGCTGTAGACCAGGAGCTCCGCGTCTGCCTCTCATCCATCCCTGTCAGAATAGGACGGTTGTGTGCATCATCCCAGGCTCAGGTTTCCCAATGATGGCAAGTAACATTTAATGTTATTACAGTTTAGACTGGGGTGCCTCAAGATTTTCCATACATTTAAAGAGTGCCTAAAAAAGGTTGAGAATTGCTGCATTAGAAGCACTTGTCTTAAGAGATAGCATAGGTAGTTCTAAGACAGCATAGGTAGGGTTTAAAAAAAAACGGCTGTGCAGGGGAATTCTCAACTGACAAGAACTATGAGGTCCACAAACACTTTTTAATTTTTAATGGCCCATATTATAAATATTTCAGTATAGCATACATAACAGTGTTTAGTGGAGCAGGTTTAGAACCTCTGTCAGGTTATATATTACTATCTGTCCATCAAATGGGGTGATTTTCCCCCTTGGTGACACCTTGTGTGTCAGAGTGTCACCAGGATGGAAAGTGAGGACAAATCTGACACACAACAATAAATACCTAACCCACTCCTTCTCTCCAAAGTCTTGATAACTATGTTCTCATAAATAAATGAAGGTTTTTGTTTCATAATAATTTTTAGATCTTCTTTATATAAGTTGGTTTGGGGAATATTCCTTTCAATACTTCAATCATTTAGGGGCCCAGATAACAGACTGCACATTAGTTTTTTTTAAAAAGGAAAAAAACACACTGAAATAAATGACATAAATTGCCAGTTTATTTGGTGGTAAAATGGACAACTCCGTTGTGTGATGCTGCCCTCTAAGGCAGGAAAGCAAACTGCTGCTATACATTGATGTGCTTGTATTGTAAAGCAGAATATCTAAAGTACCACAAATATATACTTTTTATTAGGAAAAATACACTTCATACGTGCCCCATTTTGTGTATGTGTTTGTGGAGATATAATATATATATAATTGTTCTACAGATCCCTTGTACAACAAGTGGGTGGTCCGACCCTTTACTCTAACACTTCTCAGGGTTCCTTTAATTTCAAGGGGCCTAGACAGATAGAAGGTCAGAGAGCACCGATTTCCTATGATCTTGCAAGAGACCCCCTTAAAGTGTAGCTTCCATGAATATGGAAGGTTCACTCTGTTGACAGTCAACCAAATGAAAACCACCTGCAGCTTTTTTAACAGCTTCAAAAATAAAGCTGCTAAAAAAAAAAAAAAAAACTTTACCTTGGACCCGGTTTCTGACATTGCTACCTCCTGGGATAACTGGGGGCTTGAAATCTCATAAGCATGCACTGCTGAGGTTTTTTCTCGTGGTATTTCCATCAATCCCTGGATGCAATGGTGAGGCATGGTGACATCACTTGCACCTCACAGAAGCAGTAAAAGCTGGGGCTGAGGATTTTTTAATTTTTTTAACAGCTTTATTTTTAAATCACCTTTGCAGGCGATTTGACTTTGGAGGGCCAGGGGCTTCCAATAAAGCACACCGTCTATTTTTATCCACTTTAAGTTTTTTCCCTGGAGGGAGTTGGTTCTATTGGTATGCGTTATGCTATTTACATACATATCTGTACAAGCAGAGGTGCAGTGAGAAGTTTCAAAGTCCTTGTAGAACATCTGAGCAGTCTCACCACTTTAACACTTCTTAGGGTTCCTTTCACAGAATGGGCACCTGGATGGATAGAAGGGCAGAGAGCAGGATGGTAGCTCTAGAGAAAAGCCTTGCCAGTAGCTGCTAAATGATTTCCTGTGGTATTAAATGTTCTCTCTGGAGTGGTTTCTCCTGGAAAGAAGTTGGTTCGGTTGGTTGTCTCCTTATTACATTCATATATCTACAGGTAGAGGAGCAACAAAAAGTTACAGGGCTCTTGTACAACAAAGGAGCTATGTAATCCATTCCATTGAATGTTTTCCCATGAAAACCTGGATGGATATGGCTAGAGGAACAGAGAGCAGGATGGTAGCTCTAGCGGAAGGCACTAGAAGCATTATTTCCTGTGGTCTTACATGTGCCCCTCTGGAGTGCTTTTTCTGTAGAGAAGTTGGCCTTATTGGTTATCTGCTCTTTACATAGACATATCCAATGGCAGAGGTGCAGTGACAAAGCCCTCTTACAACAATCTGATCCCTTCACTCTTACACCTCATGGGGTTCCTTTCCTAGAATAGGGTACTTGTTGGTCTTTAAGCCAGATACACAATAGCTATGTGTACATTTCCTTACAATAAAAAATGATATCACACTTTTGGCATTGTCTATGTAAGAGGTGTCAGTAATACAAAAATGCTTCTTTGATTCTATAGAATTTGGCAACAGCACACAGCTAGTTATTAGGGGTGAGTACCAGTCACCCTGGGGTCACCTGACCTCCTGTGTCCTGGGACAGTCGCACCCTCTGTTCTTGCCGGTAGAACTTGGGGCAGGTATACAAGGTATTTTCCAGAAAATAAAAACAGCAGCAGGGTGGACTTTGCTCCAACAAAGGCCGCTTCCTCTTCACCTCAGACAGCTTCATTGAGTGTGGATGGCAGCAGTTGTCAGTCGAGACTCAGTCGTGTACAATTCCATACTTACAAACGGGATACATTTGCAAGAATCATACAAAACACAGACCAAAAATGACAATAAAATTAAATTCAGTGAGCAAAAATAAATATTGCGTTAAAAAATTTATAAAGCACAACATAATAGCTTTCTTTGGTACAGTTCTCTACTGGACGTTACAATTTATTGACGTTGTAGTACAGCTCTTCGATGGCATGATTGATGGCAGAACGAGGAAATGGGAACAATTTTTACAATGTGCAGCACTGTGGATCACAATTCAATAAAACGGTCTAATGACAATGAGGAGCTAAACACACCTGAACCTATTTTAAAGGTCCCTCACATATAAGAAGAAAAACTAGTACTACTATAGGCTCAGGTTTGGCAGAACATGTTAAACATCAGCAAACGTAATCAAGCTTTGACGAGTTAATATATATAAAATAACGATCGCTATGGACTTCGTAAGGCATCTTTCAACAGGCCATCTTGACAGGCAGTCAATCCTCATACATTTCATGTAACAACAAACTGAAATAATATCCAAAATATACACTTTCTGTACTTAAAAAAATACATATAAAAGGAATACAAAACTGGAAAATGAAATATTTGAGAAAAACTGTTATTTGGCTTTTCCGTATAAATTATGTGTATTTTTTATATTTTTGTATTGTTTTTTGTTTTGACATCTCTCCTGAAGACCCCTTCTTACTCAGAAACAAATGTGTTGCTTCGTGGCCAGCAACCACCTGCTCAGCAGTGCCCCTACTGGTTTGTGTGGGTTTGTACATGCATCTGTGCTATATGTGCTTTATTGTAATCAAGGTATGCTGCAGAGACTGACATATTCGGAATCTTGAGAATGAGAATGAATAAAACACAATCATTTATACAGAGTCTGTGTCCTTCTATGCTTTCCATGTGATCTGATCTTGAAAAAGATCACATTTTGTCATTATGATCTGTTGTTATATTTCTAATAAAGTATATATTAACTAAAAATTACTTTCTCATATATACTTTCTTCATCGAGATGAAAGGTTTCCAGTTTTTATAAATGAAAATAAAATCAAACCAGTGTTTGTGTAATTGTGTCTGAACATAATTCTCTATCTTCATTTACAACATATGCAGCATGTATATACATATACACATCTCTTTTACGTTTTCTCTATATGCAACCAGTAAACGAGGGTAGGGCTATAACCCCAATGAAAATAAAACATACATCTAAAAAAATATGTTTAAGTTGAAGAGCAATGTGGTCAAAGGAAAACTAAAAAGGAGAGTTTGTTATCATAGCAACACATATATGAGTTTACTGTAGATAAGACAATTTGTGCAATAGCATATACAAAAGGTTCTACTGAGTGTGTCTTTCTGGTTTGATATGTCTTGGAGGGGAAAGAAATAAAAAAAAAAACACACAGCCCCACGTCTGCTACTGCGGGGGAGAACAGCATACTACATATTCATTAAGCAACTTGTGCAATCCTCTCCAGCAGCCTTAGAGGTAGGTCCAGCCAAAAGAACTTGGTGCAACTGACACACAAAAGCAACATTGGTCTGACCACATTTTGCACCTGCACAAAGAACCAGGCGACGGACTTTCCATTTATTCTTTGTGTTGCATTTTTCTTTTTAAAACATATTTGGTGTCCCGGTAAACAATATTTTTGTTACCTTCTAGGGAAAATATATTGATATTTAGCTATCAAACTTGTCCATAAATTTTGCCGTTGAGGGTGGAATCATCCAATTAGAATAAACACAGTCATTGGCATATCTTGAAAAAACAGACTTATTGGCATCGAATCTCGGGATTGGAACGGGGCTCTCTTCAGGCCAGTTCGGATAAGACATGCCTAAAAATGAAAAGACATCATTTGTTCTGCACTGAAGAACCCCAAAAATTAGATAGTAAAAGCTTCACGTGCAGACAGTAAGGCCCTTGGCAAAACTCCCTTTGTTTAGAAAAAGACAGACAAAGCCATTGGTGTTGTTATAGAGACATGCAGACTAATAGAAAATTACACGACTCTAAGCAGGGTGCCCTGTGAACTAAATATTTCCTTCACATAAATACCTAAATATTTCCTTCACATAAATACCTAAATATTTCCTTCACATAATGGTTATGGTAAGTTATAGGGGAATGTTTACAGTCAATAACCCTAGATGTGACTTTCAGTATGTGGACTTTCTTTGGAAATAGAATTTATTTGGATAAAGCAGCAATGTATGTTCAATGCAGCAAGCTCCACCAACAAATAGAAGAGGACCCTTAATGAAACAACTAAAGGCCATCAAAGTTTTGTCCTGGCTACTAGACAAAAAACATATCTGCCTATAACCTTTGTGATAGATTACATCACAATGAATCAGTCATTAATTTATTTGCTATCAAAGTTCACAGAACATGCAGCAAGGTGTATTTTTAAGCAGACAGACCTACCCAGTCTGAGATGTTTTCATTATTTCTGCATGCCGGGGACCCATGCACCTAGAAGCACCCTTTATTAACGTAACAACTAGCTGAATTTGTAGTTTAAATTAGCCAATTATATTTTATGATGCATTAAACAAGGGGTGTTCAAAGTCTTACAGTTAATTTTTTTTTAGAAAGCATCCACATCCTGAGTAGAGCCTCTCCCCTGCCAGCATTCTGTAGAGTTGGACCATTGCTCTCTATGAGTGATCAGTGGTCTCTCTGTCGGACTGACCTTCTGCTGCGTCGGAACTATAGCTTTGCAATTGGCCCAGCAAACTGTGAAACTGGTTCTCTTTTCTTTTGATGCCCCTGGAATGTATTAAGCTGATTGAAACCTGAAATTCAGTTGGGCTTCAATAAGGTATTCTATTTATTTATAGTAAACCTGGCAACCTTAAGGTACAAGCTCCAGACTAATATCCTTGTTCTTAGTTTTCTACTCAGTAGAGTTATGCAGGTCAGACGACCTGCAAGGCTTCCATAGATACATGTTTGTTCCAAGTCTTTGACTTACTAATTAGTAACCACCGAAAGAATGACATACCTGAAGCTTGTACCCTCAGTCGAAAGTCAGCAAAAGCATAATACTTTCCTGAAAGGTTTCCTTTAAAGCTAGTTATACAACAGTGGACCTGACCCCATATTTAACAAATTACTAAATGAAAGATGAGCTGTCTGTGCACAAACTAGGTATCTAGGTTCTACAAGTCACCAGAGCAAAGGACACAGGTAGATGCTGTTTTTACTCCACAGCATTTATCATTCCTTGACTACAATATATATTCCCTACTGACCAGGGAATGGCCCATGCTAGGAATAGTTCTCAACCTATGAGATAAATGTTTGGCCACTAAATTAGGTGTCCTTCTGAACCAAAGCAGTTGGAATAAAAATGAGAACAAACCTGAAGCGTTTGCCATTAGCAACCAACCAGGTTATATTTCTCATGTTATAAAAAATTAAGCATACATTATGACTGGCTGCTATGCTATAGGACAACACTTTGACATTTGTTCTTTTTCTCTTTTCATCACTTTTTGGAAACAACCCTATTTTCCTAACCAGAAAACCTTTACATTTTTCTTGAAACTAATATTTCCTATCTCTATTCTCCTGGAAACACCAACAGTTCAATTTTACAGACTTTTAGGGCACAACACAGCTGTTTTTGTGATTCTTAGAAGAGATCTGGACAAGTGCAGTGCTAGCTATCCTTGAGGTCAAATTTGGGAACTTTTTGCTTGATTACCATTATTTCTATATCTGTTCTAACTGCAGGATTCATAGAAGGACTTCTGGTGTTGCTGATGTAGTTTCCATGACAACATCAATGGCTAATGTCTGTGCAACAAGAAGTGGCTGTGAAACGGGAAAATATGTAGAACATGCTAATAGGAAGTCCACCACATAAATAAATATTAAGATTAAGTCATGTTAATGATTCCAATGCACTTCATGAATATATGAACATAGTATTAATAATTTGCTTGCATGCATTGGTTACATCAAGCCCCTTAATTTGTAGACATTTTGGAACATAGAATAATGGAAAATCCCAAGTCTGATTCTTTGATTGTAAAGATTAGAAATTCAGAGACAAAAAAGAAGGAGTTTTGGCAAGAACTATGCTTACTGTCTCAGGTCAACAACACAACAAGACATTTATACCAGAGGCATCGCAAGACACAACATGAAAGAAAAAGATTTGTCACAAAGCATAAGGCAAATAACAATCCATGTTTGTGGTGTAAGGCTATAACTGGTCTGTTCAAATCAAAAATCTCCTGCTGACTCTCCACTGGAAGTCCACTGGCCTTGCATGTAAAGTTTCTTTTGACTAACATAGATCTATTTATTGACATCATGGAGGGTAAAGCTCCACCTGCTGGGTTACAAGTGGAATAATCCTACAATCTAAATTAATTTCTTCCAGTTGATCACTGGAGATAATAACACCTATGCACCCCAAGAACATCAAAATCCACATACTTGACTCCCAGCCTAGCAGCTACACTGCAATTTTTGAATCATGCTGTATGGCTGGTTTTGTAATATTAGATTACTAGTAAAAAATTGTCTCAATGCTTGTTTCAGTTGGTCATGATATTTTAAATTTCAATCTCAAAACTATAGAGATATAAGATATCTTAAGAATAAATAAAAATAATATATTGATCAATGTAAACTTTGGAACTTACACATTTAGGCAAATAAAGGTTATAATAAGAGATCTACAGTAAAAGGAATAAATAATATAATTTATTGTTCGAGCATGTTAACTCAAGGGGGTAAAAAAACATACTAGTCTAAGTTTCTGATGTTCAACTGATTTATGTTTATACCTTTGATACAGTAAATGTTAATCAAAATATGATTGTTGCTCCAGCACTGCCTTCTATTAAAATAGGTTAAAGATGATAACATTTTAAGAAGGTAGCCTTGTCGACTATAGCAAAAATGCAAAGCATATACAAAGATTAAAGATTGAAAGATACATTTTGCCTGAAGGTGGACTTCACTTTAAGGGTAACAAAATGTAGTTTAATGATGAACGTCTAGGGGGTACCTAGAAGGTGCCTGTCCCCAGATATCAAACCTACAGTTTGCAACAGCCAGGTATGGAGTACATTATTATAGAGCTGTTTTTTTGGGTGGAGGGTTTATGACAAAGGCACATGGATATCTGGTGTTCCACCTGAACAAAAACAGAGAACTGCTGCTATAGAAAACACCTCATTCTTTTAATTTTCTTCAATGCCTTTAAAGCCTAATGGTAGTTTTTCAAAAAAATCAGCTAAAAAGAGTCAATGTTTGGTCAAAAGATATAATTTAACATGTTTAGTAATGTAGCTAATTGATCCCCATAATGAGTCTAAAGTGTTGTCCCTCAGCACTAGGCTGTAGAAAGGCAGCTGCTCTGTGTGTGGAAGCAGCAGTCTCTTTGCAGAAGTCCAACATGCCCTACCAGTGAGATCGAGCGTTGAAAGGGGGATGTGTCTGAGAGCGCTGCAGAGAGACCATGGTCTCTCTACAGTTCCAAAAAGAACAGCAGTCCTCTCTGCAGCCTAGTGCTTGGGGAAAGCACTTTGGACTTGCTGTGGGGATCATTTAGTCACATTACCAAGGTTAAATGATTATCTTTTCGCTGCTCATTCAATGACAGAGGATCATATATGCATAAACACCTATGTGACCACCTATATTCTATTTAGATATGTCGTTTCCATCCAATATACTGGTACAACCCTACCAACTACTAGCTAAATGCTTTGTTCTAAATTGCTTGCCGAGTAATGAATGCTTTGAAGGAAAAAAAGTACTACAACATAGCATTTACTAAAATGGCCCATAAGATATTATTGTGTCTAAATAGCTTTCCACAAACCAAATAATGTATATGGACATACAGTATATTGTGAGTTAAGTGCTGCTGGTTCATGCCACAGAATGTGAGATATAAATAGAGCTTCATGGTGTTTTATGTAAAGTGTTCTCCTTGGCTATGCTGTTCAGATGTATTTGTGATTCAGAAATGTGTATTTTGTTTGCTTCTTCTGAAAAGTGCTGCAACTTTTTTTCTGCAACAATCGCCATTTAAATATGCAAAAGAATAAAAAAATAAATCTTTAAAGTAAAATTAAAGAGGTTTTCAAGCAGAGTTTGATTGATTTCATTCAGACAAAAGCCCCTGGGGTTGGGAAGCAGATTGTTAGATGATCAGGTATACAGCGTAACTAGAATCTAGTAAACGCATGGGAAATTCTACCATAGAGTTTGTTTTCAATCCAGGTTGAGGGAAGAGTTCGAGGGAGTGGGGCATTATTACAGTCCACCAGAGGCGTCTCTTCTTCAGAAAGGCCATCATCGTACAGTATGGAGTCTGCAGGTGTGGACGCAGCGAGGTCCAAGTAATCCTAGTAATAATGCAGAAATCACAAAGTTTAAAATCTGGTATATTAAGTGGCAGTGTTCACATTTAAAACTGAATACCATAAAAAAATAAAACATTTTGAAACTAAAAAAAACAAAACTGAATACCAGGCAGATGTAAAAAAAAAGGCACAATTTAATTCAGTTATGCAATCATTAAAGTGTATGCAAAACCAACATTTTTTAAACATTTTTGGTTTTCAATGGAGTAGGGAAGGATTAAAACCCCTATCAGGTTATTCTTTTCTTGCCGTGCTCTACTGGGGAGATTTACCTATGCTTCATGTCCCGGGGGAAAGCAACAGGAAATGAGAGGAAATCTCTATAAAGTGAAAGAAATGTAAATCTTAGAGAGTTGTCATAGAATCAAGTGTACCCATTGCAGCATTTTCCCGACTCCCATCGCTTCCTGTCTTCTATCTGTCACCAGGACACATAGAGGGGTGAATCTCCTCACTGGGGACACCGCAATAAAAACAGACAAGAGTTCGAACACTTCACCACTGAAAGGCAAGATAAACATAATACCGGTACCTCTTCACCCTTGCACTTTATTTATTGGCACAGGGAAATTAATCTTCCCTTTTCCAATGGATAATAATTACAAAGAACTACAAATCATGGGGCCCCATAGCAAAACTTTGGGGGCCCCTGTTTAAATCTCTCTGTAGCATCTGGCAGTGTCAACTGTTAAAATATGTGTCATTGATCTTGTATCAAGTATGTATCAAGGACAGGCAGCGGGAGAGCTGTCACCATAGTCAGTACACTACTAAGATGCAGAGCAATACATCCACACTGCTAAGATAGATAAGCAAATGATTCTTACTGCACAGAGGGGGATCTCAGGACTACAGGATTTGATTTCAGCCCTTCTATGATGGAAACCTCACCAGTTTAGTTCCCCTAATCAGCCCCCTAATGGGCCCCCTCCTACCCGAGGCCCCATAGCAGCCACATCAGCCTGCTGGACATCCCATTCCAAAACCATGGGCATTAACACGGAGTTTCCCCCCTCCCCCCCCCCTCCAAGGGATGTACCCAAACTGTTGTCACAAGATTGTAAGTGTGAAATTGTTAAAAATGTCTTTGTATCCTGTAGCATTAACAGTACCTGTGTATTTCAATTGGTATTGCTTGATTTTATGCACCTGTTAACATCTGAACTCAGTAATCTGGAGGGGTGTCTACAAACCTCTAGCAGTACTGCATTATATGTAAGGATGATGAGAGCCCATCCACATCCCCAGAAGTCAGAGAATCAATAAGAGCAGCAGTGCTGGGGGTGCGAGTTATATAATACATTAAAAGTTATGTGTTACTGCTTATTCCTCTACCCCTAGGCTAAAAGAGCTTTTTCACGCTTTCAGTTGGGGGAGAGGGGGGGGGGAACAAAAGGTAGTTTTTAAACTATCCCAGAGTAGATGAACAATACATATCCACTACAAACACCCAGTAGCATAACCAGGGCCGAATTTACTCTCTCTGCTGCCTCAAGGCCAGGTTCCTCAATGTGCCCCCCTCACCGCCAACTCCTGGCAACCAGATGGCGGGGGCGACGAGGTTACTTAAATTTTTTTTTTAATTTTCCTTTTTTTTTTGAAAAACGGTTTTTATTTTTTTAAGTTTTTATTTATTTTTGTACTTTTTTCTTTATCTTATCATCTTTGACTTTATTTTTTACATATGTTTTATTTTATTTTTTACTTACTTTTTATTTTGTATCTTATTATTTTTAACTTATTTATTTTTTTAGAATTTTTTTCTTATTATTTTTTACTTTTTAAAATCACCTTTTTATTTTTTTTATTTCAATTAGTATTTCTTATTCTTTTTTTTTTACTTTTTCTTGTGTTTTTTTTAGTTTTTACTGATTTAGTTGGTTTTTTATTAACTTTTTTTTCACTT